AAGATGTATTCATATAGCAGCCTTTGCTTCACAAAAAATATAAAGCATCAGATGTGATCAAATATACACTCATGCCCCATAGCCCACTCTCTCACACACACACACACACACACACACATATTTTCATCACTTCAGTGGACAATGCATTGACGTTCATTTCCTAGACATGTACACTAAACATTTTAGGGACTTACTTTTTGTCCCCATAGGTTCCCACAGTGTGACTGTGTAAACAGAATTACATGCCCACTACATGAATTACAGTATACTGGGTCACACACACACTAGAACAAAAAGAGGCAAACTAAATTACACAAAATGCAAAAAACATCCATTAAGAAAAGTAAAAGATATAAAAATAGAAGTTATCTTTTTATGTGTTGCAGTGTTGTTCTTGACTTTAAAAGCACAGCATATTAAACTCAGTAAACATGAAATATTGTGACTAAAAATGGAAAGACGTGTACTAATGTATGTTTCTCACGTATAGGTTCACATTTCATTTGAAATGTGACTGCGGGCTATAGAGGAGGGTGTGGCTGGGTGGGAAGGTTTAGGGGCTTAGAAGGGGAGTGCCTGCTCCTCTGTTTAATAAATGGTCTCCCTTTATCTTTGACTTTGGTGTCTCTTCCAGTTTGCCAGCCTCTCTGGTTGTCTGCCCCCTACTTATTGTCTTCTCCTCTCTTCTCATTGTGTGTGTAGCGCACTAAACCTCAGCCAAAATGGAGGCCATCAAAAAGAAGATGCTGATGTTGAAGCTGGACAAGGAGAATGCACTGGACCAGGCTGAACAAGCTGAAGCAGACAAGAAAGCAGCTGAAGACAGAAGTAAGCAGGTGGGCTATGAGCACAGGTACAAATCTGGTTTCACTAGCCCAGAAGAGTGCGCTTCATCAAACAGGATTTACTGTGTGGCTGAGGCAGAGAAGTTGTTTTAAACTTTTCTTTACCTGTCACTTCTTCAAATGAGTGACACTGATTTTGTCTTCAGTTGTCTCATGAAGTTACTGTAGGTGAGCATTACAACAGCACAACTATAATCATTTTTCTCAAAGTATTCATTGTTTCTGTGATCAGAAATGTAATTGCCTGATATACAATCGAAGTAGTACTTTAACTAGGGTATATAGGGTGAATTGATGCTGCCATATCATCTCTGGAAGATATCTTTAAACTATATCACACTGTGGCTCTGGATTATGACAAGCATATCAATCTAACATAGAGCTCTGCACAGGCCTAAAAGTTAAACCCTAAACTGGCCTATATCCTTGAAGACCTGAACCAAATGATTCCACCTTGCACCGTCAAATTTGAGACCCATACCAGGGGGAGACCTAGAGTTATACTGTACATTTGCTTTCCATTTTTCCATGTTTTTTCCCACTGTGCATTGTGTGAGTGAAATGAATACATTCCATTTTAAGAAATAACCAAAGTGAACCCAACAACCTAAGGCCAAAGCTTCACACAACAACTTAGTCCCTACCTGACCCAAAACCTGGGATCAGTTTAGGAAGCTGTTATTAGGTTGTAATCCAACAGCTTGTAAGACTAAAAAACTTAATATTTTATAGATTTAAAACCAAAACTTGCATATGTAACACTACAAACTGCCAGAAGAATTCAAAGAAGTTGATTTTTGTTTACTGGGTTATGTGAATGCATTAGCTAACCATTACAAGAAGGGAAGCAGGAGGTTCAGCTTTGTGTGAATAGCAGCTGCCTAAATTCTAGAATAAACAGAAAGCAGAATCGCTGCCACTTGTGCAGGAGAGGTTCATTTCCAGTGTAGTCTTGTTGAGTATTCCTTTGTCTGGACTGTCTAAAAAGCTGAAACATGACATTGGGGCTTTCTACCTGTATTCTGAGTAAAGTATGCAACTACTCATTTACTCTCTGGAAGAATTTGAGTAGATAAATATATTGTCAGTGGTAAAACAATGATATCTTTAGCACTGAATAACTGCAACTCCTGTGTCATTGGTCAAGGACAAAACAGTGGCTCCTCTGTGTATCATGTCACTGACACAACCAAAAACAATAGGAGCAGATATTTTAGGGCTAGTCACGCACTAGCTATTTAGCCAGACTAAACACTTTAGTAAATGTAATTGTTAAATGCTAACAAGTCCTGTTTTATTCTGATCTTTTGTTATAAAATCAAAGTGTTTTCTGATTTTATTTACTGACAGATAGCCACTTTATCCTGAAGTAAAGCATTTATAATACAGACAAGGAATCCCTGACAACACAGTATCATTTTGATTAAGGATACACTGTGGGCAAGAAACCCTCGACCAGTAAAAGAAACCATCTAGAGCAATATATTGTTGAATACGGTATGTGCTACATACATTTGGTTGGAAAGTTGGTGGGACTGAATAAAGGGTTTAAACTAAATCATTGTTTATGGCCAAGGAACAGAGTACATGTTTAATGCTAAGTGTAAATGAGGTCAGGGAGTCCACTCGGATTCATCAGGTGTGAGAACTATTCACCCACAGTTTAGGGACAAGGTCCAGTCAGACTAAGAACACATGAACCTGGCCCAGTTTGAAGTTTAGGTTTGGTTGTGAACACAAACAACCAAATAGACCCCTGTAGACTTCAGTACACATGCTAAATGATTAGTGTTTGTAGGTTCAAGTCACACTATTTAATGTATTCAAACCTCAGTGGTAAATGTTTTATTTCCCATTTCTTAACACATGTTAGAAGAACGCTGAATAAGAAATCAGTAGAATTAGGGGTCAGGGCTCATGTACCCCCATTAATGTTTTTCACTAGTATGTGCTAGTTGTATAGAGTGGCCGTGATTTGTGTGTTCCACTTAGACAGTAGTGGGCAAAAAGCATGGGTTCACCAAAGCAGCTGGTCCTGGTAGAATAGAGGTGTCACAGTTTCCAACTCAGTTCACATCTGTGCAGAAGAAGAATAGACATGCCACAAATACCTGAATGCTGATTTGAATTTTTTTGTTGGAAATAGTGCGACATGGTAGGGCAGTGGTTAGCGCTGCAGCCTCACAGTAAGAAGGTTCCGGGTTCAACCTCTGTGCCTACTTGAGACCTTTCTGTGTGGAGTTTGTGGGTTCTCTCTGGGTGCTCTGGCTTCCCCCCACAGTCCAGAGACATGCAGCTCAGGTTGACTGAAGACTCTAAATTACCTGCCTGTGTGTGTTATGGTGGTCTACCTGTCAGCCCTGTGATAGACTCGCAACTTGTCTGGATAGATAGATAGATTGATTGTTATGAAAAATGAGCTAATGAAACTGCTTCAATTTTCACCAGATATCTCTTTAAGACCAAAGTTATATGTTATATTACATATCACACTTCATATTAAGTAGTCTTTCGATGGATGTTCAGCAATTCTGTGGTTTTATTGTATGACGTTTTAATGTTACAACCCCAAAATGTAAGATTATCATATAATGAAAAGGGTCATTAAACATTTTTGTTTCAAATTAAAGTTTCTGTCAGATTGAGAAATTGCAAAGTCAGTTTCACATTTCAATTCATATTAAAGGTTCTTATTTTTTAAAATTTGTCTTAAAACAATAGCCACATATGTACAATAAAACAGTTTTGGTCACTTTAATCATTCATCCTTTTCAGACTGGCCTGATGCATTTCCAATGTAAGAGATGAGGAGCAAAATCACCAGCAGTCTGGGTTAGCCAGACCAGTTGGATAGCTTCCAGAGATGCAGCCTGTTTTGTACAAAATGATGTTTTTGCAAGCACAAGCACTGCGCATTTTGTCACCAGTCAGGAAGAATTGTTTTACTGTTGTATTCACATACCCCTATGCACTGAAATATACTGTAATGTACTGCAATTGTGACTATACCTTTAAGTGGAATACATAAAGGTTATTAGGTTTCAAGGCATTTTAATCACAGTACCAAGCATTTAAACAATTCTCCAATAAATACATTTTGAGCATGACTTTGCAGCCCTCTTAACTCTGATCTCACACACCATCAGCATGAAGATGAACTTTTGCAAATGCAAAAGAAGCTGAAGGGGACAGAAGATGAGCTTGACAAATACTCCGAGGCCCTGAAGGATGCTCAGGAGAAGCTTGAGGTGGCTGATAAGAAGGCTGCTGATGTAAGTAATACAATTTCAATTGTTGTGATTAATTCACAGCTTGTAACATTGTCTATGCTAGACCAGTTACTGCAGATAGTAAAAACATAGATAAACAAGGCAAGTGATAGAGTTGATCCAGTTTATTGATCTTAACTATTTTCTTTTACTATAATCTTAATTTAATCTTTAATAACTGTCACTCTGGGAAACTGCTAAAATCCCAGACTTGGTACCTTCTCATACAGTGTGAGCCCTAAACTGAGGCTCTGATAAAAGCTGGGATGCTTCCAGCATAAGCCAGTCCTGGCTGATTCACTGCTTCTCCTTTGCATTCCATTCTCATCATGCCCTGCATGGACTCTTCAGCTGTTGGGGAGATTCAGAGCCCTATTTTGGCCATGATGTCAGTTGTTCAGCCTCGACTGCGAGCTTAACAATGGTCCAAGTCCATTTTAGGTACATCATCCATTCCTTGTGGGTCAGTTTTTTTCTTTTAGGAGAGAGACTCAATGAAGTGATATTTTTAAGAACTGTACTACTAAACTCAGTTAAGTACAAGTAAGGTACTAACAAAACGAGCTTGTAAAATTAGATAATCTGATTTCATTTTATAACAAAACCCGTATAAATTAATCCTGAACTACAGCACTACATTGGCCAGACCACAAAATACTAATGTATTCTGTTTACCAATTAGTACATTTGGCAACTGATATAAAAATAGGAAGCAAAAACCTTATAATTCAGTAAATGGTAAATGGTCTTAAACTTGTATAGCACCTTTCTACACTTTTACAGCACACTCAAAGCGCTTTCACATTATTCAGCCATTCACCCATTCGAACTCCCAAGCACTCATGCATTCACACACCGGTGACATCACCGGGAGCAACTGGGGGTACCATTCCATTAGTGTCAACCAATCTGTTGGTGATATTTTTTATCTTTATTCAGTATTTTAAATTCAGCCAGAACTTTTCAAGACATTTTAACTGTCCAAAAACCAGTCAATAGTTGATTTTCATAATAAATAGCATTATATAGCATTGTTAGCATTGTGTCCCTGGTACAGCTATATGTTGTTCACCTTTTTTGCTTCTATAGGAAACCCGTAAAACTGCATTAACTAAGATTTAGCACAAATTCAGATACACTTCTTCCACACCCTCAGTGATCTGATGTTATAAAATACGTTTTTCAGACCAGTATGGCTCATTTCAAAGACGGACCATGGAGGCTCCCTGTGCAGAGTTTTTTCCTCCCCACTGTCACCAAGTGCTGCTCGAGAGGGATTTGCTGGAGTTTTCCTCAATAATAATAATAATAATAATAAGAGTAAGGTCTAGACTAGACTTTGTAAAGTGTCCTGAGATTTGGCTCTATACAAATAAAACTGAATTGAATTGAATTGAAACCCAGGAAGGAAGCAGATCTGTTAGACCAAATGCATTCTGTAGCAGAAAAAGAGCAACAAAGAACAAGGCCAAACCAGGATTAACGTTGGTTTGGCCTGTCTAAGATGGGAGCACTAAAAACATCCAAAGTACTAAAATTTGACAGAGATGTGGTCTTCTTCCTCCTAGATGCTTAACTACTGTAGTTAGATAGTCTGTATATATTGGCATCATTAGCAAATTCATGTTAACATTTCAATTTTGTACCTTTAATTAGTGGAAACCAGCATTTCCTGGATTAGCAAATGAAGTAATTTTGCAACTTTTTGCTCAGTTTTGGTCCAGTTTATGTGGAAAATAACACTGCAGTTCATGTATCATTTTAGTGAAAAGTTGTTAAAATATTCACCATCAACACAACTTGAAAAGAAAAGTTCTGTGTGTCAACTGCATAACACTGAATGCAATGTGATAGCAGCCGGAACATTAGTACTGGATCAGTATTACTGGGAAAAACATCCCTCTGTATAATTTGCTTGTATTATTGCAGATACATCTGCTACAAACGACTTTGACATAGGTATGCATATAGCCATTTACAGTATTTGACACTGTGTCACTGCAATGCCATCAGAAATCATAAGCTCTACGGGCTCTATGCATGGATGATGTAGTTTCAGAGCTGGGGCAGGAGGAGCAAAGAGAAGAGGAGGGGATGCTGCTTGAGTTTGTTTTGATCCTCACTTCACCCTTAACGATCAAAAATTAGAGGGAGAAATTAGTTAATGTAGCCTTAAATACTTAAATATGCAGAACCGATACCCATTTATTCCCCAAACACTTTTCTTCTTCCCTTGTACAATCATACAGTGTGTAACCACTGCATACCCACTAACAGATTTATAAAGCAGAATGACAAGAATTAGCATAGGCCTAAGGAAGATATGGTGGTCCTCAGTGAGAAACTTGTTTCCATCAGCTATAGCGTGTCTGTACCTTCAAAGAAAACATTTTCTTTCCCAGTGCATTCAGAATAAATGTGTAACTGATGTTAATATAGGCGTTCCTAAATACATTATCAGCAACAGCTATTTGGCCCTGTGAGCACATCAAACCTGTGCAAGTGTAGGCAGAAGACTGATTTCTGTGAATGAGTCAGCACTGTTTATCTATGCCCAGGCTGAAGCAGAAGTGGCTTCCCTGAACAGACGTATCCAGCTGGTGGAGGAGGAGCTGGACCGAGCTCAGGAAAGACTGGCTACAGCTCTGCAGAAGCTGGAGGAGGCTGAGAAGGCTGCTGATGAGAGCGAGAGGTGACTGTTTGCCTGCTTTGTGCGTGATCAGCGTTATCCTGTAGGCCTACCTTAGGGAAGACTCACACAATGATTCACAGTGGTTGCCTCTCTACTCAGCTTCAGTTCAAAGCCATTGTGTGATAGGAAGTGTAATAGCTGGCTGAAAATATTTCAAGGCCCTTTCTGGTTGAAAAGTCTTGAGTCACAGCCATCATCAGTGCTGCATGACCAGCAATTGGGTGGATGTGGTCAGAACTGTGCTCTGATGTGCATGTAACCACACTCAAAGGTAGAATCAGAAACAGCTTTATTGACCAGCTGTGTTGGACACACGAGGAATTTGATTCCAGTACAATGTCCTTTCATAAGGCAACATAAGGAAACAAGAAAAGGAATGTGTGTTTAGGAAAGAAAAGAAAATTACTTACTTAAAATTAATTACTTAAAATATGCATGTATATACAAACATTTTAGGTGTAAGTAACCAGATACAGTAGATATATTCAGTGGTATATTACAAGGCATTGCACTGAGGGCTGTCATTCTGTTATATAGTCATGGGTTAACTGTTCATCAGAGTGACAGCATGGGGGAAGAAACTGTCCTAGATGATTCCTCTGTAGAACTGTATCAGCAGTGAGCTGAGTCAGTTTGCAGTGGAGGATGTCCGGGATGATGGTGTTCAATGCCAAGCTGAAGTCCACAAAGAGGGCCCGTGTATAGGTCCCTGGGGAGTCGACGTGTTGCAGGATGTAATGCAGTGCCATGTTCACTGCATTGAAAATCTTGTGGATGATGCAGTGCCATGTTCACTGCATCATCCAGTGACCTGTTTTCCTGGTAGGCGAACTGCAGGGGGTCTAGCAGGGGGTCAACGATGTCCTTCAGGTGGGCCGACACCAGTCTTTCAAAGCACTTCATAACTACAGATGTCAAGGCGGCAGGTCTACAGTCATTTTGTTCGCTGATGGATGGTTTATTGGGAACCGTGATGATGATGATGGAGTGTTTGATGCAGGAGGGGACATCACACAGCTTCAGTGACCTGTTGAAGATAACTGTGAACACTGGAGCCAGCTCATCAGCACGGGCTTTCAGACAGGAGGGAGTCACACCATCTGGGCCTGGTGCCGTCCTTATCTTCTGACTTTTAAACAGGCCATTCGCATCTTTTTCACAGACTGTCAGGGCATGGAAGCACAAACAAGATTTTCAAGCACTGTTAAATTATTAACAACAGAGAAACCACATATGCTAAACAATAATATGTCTCATTCCATCACATACATTTTCAAGTGACAAGAAAATATTACAGGAAGTCAAGGAAGGAATAGGTAAAAAAACAGAACTAAAGACATAGAGATAGGCTATATATACTCTAGTTAAACAAGGAACCAACCAAATAAGCAATTAAAAAGAGACAAAAGCCAAAATGAACGAGGCTGGGGTGAGAGGTCTGGATAGGATGGGAGAAAAAAGAGCTGCCTTGTGCCTCATCACCTTTGCCTCTTGTCAATACACTCGGCCTCTCAACCTTACTGCCAGAAGCAGGAGGGGGTGTCACATGGCTCTGTTTAGTCGTTTATAAATGTCATTTCTAGAAGAAAGGGCAGGAAATTAAAGCTAAAACACAAAAATCTGCCCAAAACTTCCTAACTACCAGTGGATAAATCCAAAGCAGATTTTTGTTTATGTGATTTCTTAACAATTAGCTGATATTTATAAAAGCACTGACTATTTTACCAGTAATATCTACTCTGTAGTTTACTTTCGTTGCTTTATTTATAGAGCTGACAATTTATCTAAAAAGTAAAAGTATTCCACAAGAAATAATGAATGTTTCTGTGTACAGAGGTATGAAGGTGATTGAGAACAGGGCGCTAAAGGATGAGGAGAAGCTGGAGCTCCAGGAGATTCAGCTGAAGGAAGCTAAACACATTGCAGAGGAGGCAGACCGTAAATATGAGGAGGTGAGTGTTCCATTGTTGGCTGCTGAAATCTGTCTTCAGGTGATGACTGAGAAGAACTAATGATTTTCAGAACCCAAAAAAGACCAACATCAACAGCCTTTTGCTGCAGGTGTTTTTCCAGATATACTTTTATGCATTGACAGTGATATAGCCACACAGCCAGTGTTCGACATATACTGGCTTCACAATGAGCCACTAGTGGATGGCATAGATGAATGTTAAGTCAATCTGACATCAGTACATAATTAAAAATAAATAAAACTTAATAATACTGGTGATTATCATAGGGGTTGCATGTGTTTCATGTTTTTTTTCAAGTCTCTGATGTATGAACACTTGTAATATATGTAATCCATTTGTACAGGTGGCTCGTAAGCTGGTGATTGTAGAAGGAGAGCTTGAACGTACAGAGGAGAGGGCAGAGTTGGCTGAGGCGTGAGTATTTATATCATGGCTTCATGACTTCTCCAGCAATATGTCCTACTAGTTGATGTGTGCACTTTCAGCACTGGATGACCTCGGAACTTGGAAAGTCCCTGGTCAAAATAATTTCACTGAAAGCATCAGATGTTCTACTATACTATAAAATAACTTTTCTATTTAACTCAAGTAGTGTGTTTGCTGCAAGTTCAGGTTTAAGGTACTTTACATGAATATTTCAGCTACATTCTAGTACATTTCAGACAAAAATATTGTGCTCAGTAACTGGTCGTTGGTTAGATCTACATATAAAAAAAAAGACTAATGAAATAAGGTGCACTGAAGCTACCCAACAGTACAGTATATAAAGTTGGTAGAAACTATTTCTTACATAAACATGAATGATGATCCATGGTGATTCATAAGTAGTATTCCTATAAGTAATGCTTCAATACATTTTACTGCTAATGCTTCTTTTCTTCTATTTTCTATTTTGAAAGCACATCTAGTGGTGCACATTTTCACCATGGTATTATTACTTTTACTGAAGTGAGGGAACTGAACATTGCTTATTTACAGTGACCACATAAAATTTCCTCTACTCACTGCTGTTCTTAGTTTTTGCTGACTAATCTGACATGCTGTTTCCACCTATTATTTTCTTCTTTCCCTGAAATAAAAACTAAATAAGTAAATGTGCTGAACTGGAGGAGGAGCTGAAGAATGTCACCAATAACCTGAAGTCTCTGGAGGCTCAGGCTGAGAAGGTAGGGCCAGGCTATAGTGCTCATACTAGCACGACACAGCATGCTTCAGTTTTTCTGCATATACCACTGGGTGACAAATTAGTCCTGGTGGCTTCGTTGTTCTTTGGAGGGCATTTTCTTGACATGGTTTAGATTTGCTTGTAGGGTGGAGTCACTACAAATGAATAATACAGATATTATGTTGTCATTACATTCCATTGCCCACGAATAGTCCTAACAAATACATGCAGTATTACATCTTTTTAAAATTGACTGGTTTATTCTAAGCTTCACATTCTAACTTAGAAACATGAGACCAGGGATTTCATCCCAGGACTAGTTGGTGTAGCTATAGTGAACTAAACATGGCTGGCACGGTTGTGCTTGTCACTTTTAATAGCTCCCAGGGTTTCTCTCTTTTCTTGCTGCTGTTCTGTTTACCTCTGCCTGGCATTTTGTTGGAAGCGGGAGATTCAAAATTTGAAATAACTCAAACATACTGTGGAGACAGAGTTTAGTAATTTGACAGCAGAGGACCTTTGCTAAACCATCTTACCCAACCCTAATATAAACAGTGTTTGACCAATAAATACATTAAAAATGGAATCTAAAAATAACGCTGGTAGGACTGAAGTCTGCATTTATCCATAAACTGAATGAAACTTACAATGTCTGTTTTAGACAGCTACTATAACCTAAATGAAAAGCTTGTTGTTCACATGCACTGACTCCCTGCAGCTATTTGAAAACAAGGCACACATACATCCAGTGTCAACAAGTGTCATGCCAGAGCAAAGTGGTATTAAACACGGCTCTCCGCTGTCTTTACTTCATAAAATCTCATGCAAATGACACCAGACTACTACAAACTTTGTAGGAGTAATAGCCACTGCTGCTTTGCCTAGTGTGTTTCTTTTGTCAAGAAGCCTATTTAAATTTATCTCACATTTATTGTATTACTAGGGTTGGGCCAGTTTTATGGTGTATGAGCAGTATGTAAACGGTTTGGTGTACAGGGAGGCAAAATCCTCTCAGTGTTGGTTATGGTATTGTGCTTTGTTGTTGTTGTTGTTTGGTTGTGATTAATTGATTGCTGTGGTGTTTATTTAATGGGTCTGTCTATTTATTAGGAAAGTGAGTAGGTTGTCCTGCAGGGACACTGATTTTAACTCCACATTTCTTTGAGAAGTCGATAGGGGCTCATGGAAGCACTTTCCTATGGATCTGCATCTTAATAATGTTGTTTCTCATCTCAGTACTCACAAAAGGAGGACAAGTACGAGGAAGAGATCAAGATCTTGACTGACAAGCTGAAAGAGGTGAGTAAGAAGGAACAATGACCTTAAGATACTGTAAACCCCCAGTGTATAAATGTTCTAAATCTAAATCGATCCTATCCCCTAAAATAATTCAGCAAGATGTGCACAGACATTGTGTTTATTATAATGTGTTGGCCTCAGCTGATATCTGACCAGAAGTTGATCTGTGTCACCTAAGGCTGAGACCCGAGCTGAATTTGCTGAGAGATCTGTGGCCAAGCTGGAAAAGACTATTGATGATCTGGAAGGTACAACACTGATTGCACTTGACAACCAGCACTCTTTAAATACACTTTATATTTACTAGGTGTCCAACAAAAATAAACATGAGTAAAATGCAGTCCATTATGTTACAAATTTTAAACAATGTTTTTGTAATGTGATCAGTTCGTAATTACCAGCACTCAAAATGCAAAATATTGCATTTGTTAATAGTTGCCACGACTCATGGGCATTTTGTGACATCATTTAGATCAGGTACCGATGTCATAAATGCAGTTCTAATTCCTGAGCTACAAATAATCACACTGTAAAAGTTAATTTAAAACCTTGTTTTATAAACAAGCAGTTAAATCTTCATGAAAACTGTATAATTAGGTTTTAAGAAGAACTTTGTTCTTAAGAATGGTTGGCGAACATTAGGCTTGTAATTCTCTTAAGTGCATTAGCTAAATTTATTTGCATGGTATTGACAGGTCTGCCTGTTACCATGACTTTAACATTTACCTGTTTCTGGTTAGTAAAAGACTTCATTATAATTTATTTCTCCTTTCCCATGTTACTAATTTCAGCCTTTCTGTCTTCTGTTTCTGTTTTCCTTTGAACACACCTTTTCTTGATCTGTATCTGGACGTACAGATGAACTGTATGCACAGAAACTCAAGTACAAAGCCATCAGTGAGGAACTGGACCATGCCCTCAATGACATTACTTCTATGTAAGTAGTAAAAAGTATATGTCAAATGAGATGCATGCATTTTGAGTCTGCCAGTGTAGCATTACTTAAATTTGAATTTAAAAAAGTACACTGATTTGTTTCGTTGCTGTAATAGTTCTAATTTTCTAATAGTAAAACAGTTTTTCTATAATCTTTTCAGCTTAACAAAGATAAAACCGTGTATAGCATGTTTGTTTAGTCAGATTTATTGCATCAGTTACAATATCTTTGGGCAATCTAACATCCATCCATTTTCCTCTGCTTATCCGGAACTGGGTCGCGGGGGCAGCAGTCTAAGCAAAGATGCCCAGACTTCCCTTTCTCCAGACACTTCCTCCTGCTCCTCCGGGGGAAT